CGGAGTTTATCCACCGCACCAGTTCTGCGAAGCCTGATTCAACTGCATCCTCAGTGCAGCCTCTAATCATTAACCCACTCAACCTGTTTGCACTGGCACCGAAGTGGAGATCAGATCCCTCTGGTCACGTTCACTGTGGGTTTAGCCCGAGAGAGAGATGCCAGGGTTGCTATTGGAAGCTGGGCGAAATGCATCTCCCCTTAAGCCCCCTTCCCTTTGCACAATGATTTCATTTGTTTGTTTACTATAAATAATATTTATTATAAATACATCTAAGCTCACAAAGTAGCCCTCCGGTTGTTTGTCCCTTCCCTTCTGAAGAAGTGCTGCCCCACCCGGAATCAATGAGGAAAGATCCCCAGATTTGGGCAGTTCTTAAAACCTCTTGGTCCTGTTAAGGGTCCGTCCTCAACCTGTTCCTCCCCATCCAGACCACCACAATCTCCAGGCACAAAACGTGGGAGGCCTCCTTTGGTTGGCCCAGAGTGCAAAGCTACAACTGGATGTCCTTGGTATACTGAACTCTATGGAGACTTTCAGCCACCCAGGTCAACTGGGTGTCCCAAAGGTGCTTTTCCAAGAGGCAACTGGATGGTTAAGTTAATAAGAAGGACGACATATGTACACTGAGAACATTTGCACCAAAGACAAATTCCTTGTGTGTCCAATCGCACGTGGCCAATAAAGAATTCTATTCTATTCTATTCTATTCTATTCTATTCTATTCTATTCTATTTTATTCTATTCTATTCTATTCTAATCTAATCTAATCTAATCTAATCTAATCTAATCTAATCTAATCTATTATTAGCAGGAAAACCAGGCAAATGCCAAGGTCAGAAGTGTTTCTCTACACTGAACTTCACTGAACACAGAACCCTAGGGCTAGAAGGGGGACTAGAGGACCTCTAGTCCAACCCCCTGGTCAAGACAGGAGATCTTATTCCATCTCAGTCAAATGGTTGTTGGGTCTATTTTTGAAAACCTCCAGCAGTGGAGCACCAGGAGGCAAGCTATTCCATTGATTAATTCTACTCGCTGTCAGAAAATTTCTCCATAGTTGATTCTTTTTTTATCAAGCTTTCACCTATTACTTCTTGTCCTCTCCTCCTTTGGAGAATAACACAACCCCTTCTTCTCTGTGACAGCCCCTCAAGTACAGGAAGACAGTTATCATGTCCCCCTTATTCCTTCTCATCCATAGATGCTAGGCGTGCCCAGCTCCCTCAACTATTACAATTTAGCCCCCAAAGCTCTTGTCCTCTTGGTTGCTCTTCTCTGCACACTTTCTAGAGTCTCAGCATCTTTTATTGTTGTGATCAGAACTGGATGCTCTACTATGGGTTTATGCTCCTCCTAACACACACTATTTGTCTGATGCGGGATGTTTGTGCAGCTGGTCAGAATGGCCTGTCCTTAACTTGGGCTTCCTGCCTCTTTTAGGCCCAAGTGGCTTTCCTGCAGGGCGAGAGGAAGGGTCAGGAGAACCTGAAGGCTGACCTCGTGCGGAGAATCAAGATGCTGGAATATGCTTTGAAGCAAGAAAGGTGAGCCGCCTCACAGGTGTCGCATCCCCTCCAGGCTGTCCCAGGTGGAGATTCAGAGGCGGGGTGTAGATTCCCCTTAGTTCAGGGGTCCCAAACTTGGCGACTTTAAAGACTTGTGGACTTCAATTCCCAGAACTCCCCAGCCAGGACAGGAGAATTCTGGGAATTGAAGTCCACAAGTTGTCAAGTTTGGAGACTCCTGCCTTAATTTATTTAGCTGGAAGTCAACACCTGAATTTGGGAAGCAGGGAAGATGCTCTTGAGGGATTCTCTCCTTTTTAAATATCCTCACAGTACGTGTGTATGTGTATTTATTAAAAGCTTATCCTGCCTTCATTTTATAAGTAGCTCAAGGCGGTGAAAATATCCAACACAATTTCCTTCACCCTACAACAACAACCCTGTGAGGTGGGTTGGAGTGAGAGAGAGAGAGAGGGACTGGCTCAAGGTCACCCATTCGGTTTTCAAGCCTAAGGTGGAACTAGAACTCACGGTCTCCTGGTGATTGGCCCAAAGCTACCCAGCTGGCTTTCGTGCCTAAGGCAGGACTAGAACTCCCAGCCCCCTGTTTTCTAGGCCAGCGCCTTCACTGTTCAACATCCTCTCTATGACGTCGGCCCTTCGGTTAGAAGCCATTCCCTACTTTAAGGGACACAGGGAGAAATTACCGCTGGCATCCCCCATCCTTTCCTCAGCTTCCCTTGTTAATTCCAGGTCAAAATACCACAAATTGAAATTCGGGACGGACCTGAACCAGGGAGAAAAGAAACCAGAGGCCTCTGAACCAGGTAGTGGGTCCGGGCTCAGGGCTGCACCTCGGCCAGGGGGTCCCAGGGCTGCTGTTGGGTGGGCCCCGGAGCCGAGGGACACGCTGATGGGACTCTCTTTTACGCTTAGTGTCCAACGGGCCAGCGGAGCCCCTTTCCCTGGAGAACAGCCCGTTCATCTGGAAAGAAGGACGCCAACTCCTCCGTCAGTGAGTAGCGGTGGCTTTCTGGGGGGAGGGGGGTTCCCCCTAAGGGAGGGGAAGTGCACCGGTCCTCCCCAGTGATGGTTTGGGGGGCGGGGGGGGGCAGCTGTTTTTGGACAGTTTTAGCAAAGGGCGTGTCAGATTCCTTGTCACCCAAATGAAGTGTGCCAGGTTCAAATTGGACAGAGTTGTTCCATCCTTGCGTGAAGGACCCCGGTCCTTTTCTGGCTGGGAGAGCCCTCTGAGCCAAACTGGGCTGTTTCAAAAACGTTTTGCAGGTAGTCCTTGACTTGTGACCGGAAGGGAGCCTGCCCATCACGGTCGTTAAGTCTCATAAACGAGTAAATGTAAAGCCTTCTAAATAAATAAAGGCAGGGTGTTCGTAAGGTGCGTCAGCCACGGGTCCAGTCTGATTTTAAGATGTGATTTGCGTGGCAGTCGTTAAGCAAAGCAGTGCCTGGCCACAGGTCAGTTTGCTGGAAACAGGAAGTGCCGGTTTCCAGCAAAACCCGGGCTAAAATCACAGTCGTGTAACCACGAGATGCTGCTAATGGACGTAAAGGCAGGCCGGCTGCCAAGCACCCAGAGTGTGGTCACATGACCGGGGAGGCTGGGGGCCGTCGGTTGTTCGGAGCCAGGTCCGGAGAGGCCCCGTCATAACTTTGGTTGGTTGCAAGTCGAAGCGTGCCTGCCAGTTGCCAACCCTCCCGTGGGACTAAAGGCTGCCTCCCTCCCTCCCTTCCTCGGACCCCGGGGTCTCTTCCCCTCCCAGGTATTTGGAAGAAGTGGGCTACACCGACACCATCCTGGACATGCGCTCCAAGCGCGTCCGCTCTCTGCTGGGCCGCTGCTCCATGGAGCTGAACGGGGCTGCCGAAGCCAGCGGCCTGAGCCCCGGACCAGCCCTGGCGGCCACCAGCCTCAACGGAGGAGAATCGCTTCTCGTCAAGCAGATTGAGGAGCAGATCAAAAGGTGAGCGGCCCTTGAGGGGCGGGGCTTGGGGATGGGTGGGGGGATTCTGTCCGGGTTGGAGAGGATGAGCTCGCGGGGGGGGGGGGGGGTCTTGGTTTGCGGGCACCCGTCACTGCGGCTCTCGTTAGGTTTCCTGGAACAAGGAAGTGAGGGACTTGCGGTCTTCCTTCGTAGTTCCTGTTCGATATTGTCGTTCAGGTGCTGGCCAGTAGCATTGATGATGTTCCCTAGTTGGGTAATGAGAGGTCTGTGAGAAAAACCATCAAGCTCAGAGAACACCAAGGACCTCCACAGTCCTCCTCCTCCATTTCTTCTCTCCTTTTCTTCCCCTTTTCCTCCTCCTCCTCCTCCTTTCTGCAAATTCCACTCCTTTCTAGCACTGATAATGCTCCCTAGTTGGGCCCTGAGATGTCTGCAAGAAAACCCCCCCAGCTCAGAGAGCACCCAGGACCCCTCAGTCCAACCCTGAGCGACAAAAGATCCGTCTTCTCCTCTGGCAGGAACGCAGGGAAGGAAGTGAAGGAGCGGGTCAGTAACCCCGTCATGGAGAAGATCCCCTTTTTGAGGGGCTGCGAGGACGACGACAGCGACGAAGAGGAGGACCTGGAAGGCCTGTCCCTGGAGACGCAGCGGCAGCACAAGAAGCAGCGCGTAAAGGTGCCCCCTCTGCTCCCGGAGCCGAAGTTTTTGGGGTGCAGGCAGGGACACTGAGCTGCTGAGCGGGACCCAGTTTCCGGGGAGGCCTCGAACCTTGTCGTTGTTTTTGAAGGGTGAAAACTGGATTTCAGCTATTCTTGCAATCAAATTCCTAAAGCAAAACTGACCAAGGAAACATGCAAGTCACAACGGGTGTTTTATGACCCGTTGGGACAGTTTGGAAGCATTTCAAGGATGTGAAAGTTTTTTGTCCATGCCTTGTTTGGCTTATTAATCACGAGTGTTCAAGCTTGATGACTTTACGACTGGTGGACTTCAACTCTGAGGTGGTTCGCCGGCAGCCAGTGTAGCCGGCAGCAGAACTGGACAGTGGAGAAGAACAGGGACCAGTCAGGGAGTTTGGAGAGGACTAGGACGAGGGTCCTGCATCCAATGCAGGGATGGGGCCAGGACCATCTGGGAGTGGGGGGGCTGACTCCGGAGCCTCCAGTATCTGGCAGCAGCGAGGCAGAGGACCCAGGGGAGCCTGTTCCCAGTGTGTGTATGCGCAGAGCTGCTACAAGGCAAGAGCAGCTGAGAGAAAAGGGGGGGCGACTCGGGAATAAGGCTGGGAGGTGATTGCCCCTCCCATAAGGGATAAAAGTCAGACCTCAGTGACGAAAGCTTTGCAGGAAGCAAAGTCGTTCGATAGATTCCAAGTCCTCCTTGCAGCTCTGGATGTTTTTTTCTGTTACTTCGGTTTGGTTTCTGTTACAATTGGAGACTTCTATTTTTGGCCACATTCCACAGCACTGACAGGCGTGTGCTTATCTTGGAGAACTGTTTAAGTTAGTATTGGCTGTGAATGAAAATAATTCCCAGTGTTGTGTTGCATTAAAATCGGTTTTGCTTTTAAAACAAGTTTGTGTTTAATTAACGTTTGACGAAGTCTGGATCAGAACAAACTCCCAGAATTGTGACCTGAATTCTGGGAGTTGAAGTCCACCAGTTGTAAAGTGGCCAAGCTTGGAGCCTCCCCTGCTTTAAAAGCACGGGATATCAATCACCACGTGGGTACAATTAGTTGTGTCTTTTGCTTTGGGTGTGTGATATTTTAATGCGTTCCTTTTTGTTTTTCTTTTTCAAAAACCTTATTTTTGAATTATAATTTTGGGATAACCAAGCAGTTTTATAAAGAGAAAAGCACAGAAATCGACCTGGCACTTTTGGATAGTTTATAACAACTCTGCTTGACATTTTTAGAACACATTCGGTCCCCGCTTGCTTGGTCCAAAAATCAATTGTTACTTGAAATTATGTACATCATATATGCAGTCAGTGAAACTATCTTGGCTGCTTTGGGGTTTTTCAAAAATGTCCTATAGTCTACCCTTGCTAAGCAGAATCCACAGTACGAATGCACTGTTTTGAAATAAAGAGTCATTCAGCAGAGACATTTGATAGCATGCAAATTAAAAAGAACAGATACGGTTTCAGAATTTTTTTCTGTTCAAGTTGAAAAAGCCAAATATCAGCCTGCTGCCATTGTGATAGCTGCTCATTCACTCAAGAAGCGCTGCAGCTTCACAACAGGGCCACCCTAAGAATTGTGAGGCTTTATTGAGGGAATTGTCAACCCATAAAACATTTTGTATACACGTTTTATAGTTATCAACAGAAAAAAAGGGGGGGGGGGGGGTTTCAAAGAGC